AAAATACAAGCAGTAATTTGAAAATCAATAAAGAAGCAATACAAAATTCACAAAGCAATAATTCTAATAATCTAGTTGATTTTTTAAGTAGTAGTTATGAAAATTCATTTGAATAAAAATGTTTTGCTAATGAATAGATAATTTAATAAAATACAAATGAAATAATTTCCTGTAATAAATGTAATTTAATACCCTAATAATATATAGAATTAAATTGCAATCATACATTTTGTACTAAATGCATAAGTATGTAGACTAGACACAATTTGAAATTTGTAAAGTGTATTATATGTAAATAATCATCTTCATTAGATTAAATTGCAATAGAAAGTATAAAAAAATCATAGGAGTAGTAATAGTAGATTATTTATGAAGATAGTCATGAAACAAATTAAATAGAAAAACATTTGAAAAAAAATAACAAAAATTATAAGTAGGATCAGTTTTGTAAAATACACTAAAAATATTTAATGAATCTTTATGATTTTACAAATAATAAACTTTTGTGTATAAAATGTATATAAAACGGAGATTTTTAGGGGGAAAATATTTAGACATTTAAATAAGGTTTTGAGTATTTAAGATAATATATATAGGATTGCATAGAATGTGTGAATATTTCATTATAAATTTTAAGTTTTAATTAAAAAATAAAAACGAGAATTTTAAATAATAATAGGTTTAATTAGGATAAGAAATTTAGTATATTATTGAGTTTTTATAGAAATAATAAAGGGATTTTTGTGAAAAGTAAAGCGAAGAATTAAACAAAATTAATAATTAAATTTAAAATTTTGAATATTTAAAAAGCGAATTTAATTTAATTAGTTAAGTTAATAAAGCAGATTATAAAAATTTCCATAAATTTGCTGTTTTAAAAGAAAATTTAGACGAATTTTTAAAAGAAAATAATGTCAAAAGTATGCATTTGGCTTCTTCTTATAATAATTTTAAAACAATAAATGAAACATAAAATATTTAATAGAAAATAAACGAAATTATATAAAATATTGATAAAAAAAAATTGAAATAAAATTAAAGCGATAAATCATAAAATATTATAAAAGTCAAACATTTTTTAAAAGAAAAACTTAAATATGTGTTTAATAATTAAAAAACTAATAATATTAATAAATCAAAAAGTTCTAGATGTGATAATTAAAGTAATTAAAGGTAGAGTAAAAAAAAGAAAGTTAAAATTAAAATATAGATAATTTAAAATAAAATAAAAAAATTAAATAATAGAATAATAATAATAATAATAATAATAATAATAATAATAATAATAATATTCATGTAATCGCATTTAAGATGAAATTGAAAATTTAAATATATTTTTATAAAAATAAGAAAAATAAAATTATATGTATAATTAGAACTTGTTGAAGTAAAATTATTTTAGCAAATGTTCATTTATAAAAAATAAATATTAGTAAAAAAATAATAATTTATAATCAAAATGCGGAATTTTTTGTAAATAAATATCACTTAATTATGATAATTCTTCAAAAAATATTAAATTTGCAGCATCTGTTAAGAATAATCATAGTGCTTTTCCTTACTAAAATTTAAGTAAATAATACGATTTTTTTAAAAATTTAAATAAAAAGTTATTATGAATAAAATATAATATTTTTTTATTATTTTAATAGACATATTAATATGTTTTATAATTTTTATTTATTGTAAAAAAATAGTAATACTTTATAATCTAAATATTTTATTATTTTAAAATATTAAAAATAATAATAAATATATTAAAAAATATTTAAATTAAAAACAAAAACTTTTAAATAAAAAAAAATATAAATTTAAGTATATATATTAATAAAAGTATTGTAATTAATAAATATAGAATACAATACATTTATATTAAAAAAGTATAAAGTTTAAAAAGAAAAATTTATAAATAAAAAAATTAAATTAAAAAATAAAAAATAAAAATAAATTTAATTTAATTTAAAAATATAAATAAAAAACAAAAAAAAATACTATAAAAAATAATATAAAATATATTAATAAATAAAAAAATTGTATATAAAAAACATAAAATATTTTTTTGTATATATATATATAAAATATATTTATATATATAAAATATATATATATTATATAAATATATATATTTTTTATTATATAATATTATCTTTTAGCTAATTATTTTATATAAATATATATATTTTTTTATATTTTTTACTATGTTTTAATTAATTTTTTAATAATATCATAAAAATTAATATTAATTTTCAAATCATTCATTTTTTTTTAGATGTATAAACCTTACATGAGAAATTGTCTGGATTTAATTTATCCTGTATAAGATTTTCATTTAGATATAACTTAGAGAAAAAGCTTGCATTTTTTTTATGTACTGTAATACATAAAGTTCTACACAGTGTTAGTAGAATTTCATCTTAGTCTTTTTTATTTAACTATAATATTTCTAAATAATTTCTAAATTCATTTAAAAAAAAATTGTTTTTCATTTCAAAAAGCTATCCGACTCTTATTTTTGGTTCAAAAGAAAGTAAATATCCATCAAAACTTTTTAATTGGACTTTATTGTTTTAAATTCCTTAAGGATTTTGATAATCATTTTAATCTATTATTAGGAAGTGTTTATTTATTAATTTTGTTTTTATTTTATCTTTTTCTTCTTCTATGTATTTTTTTTCCATTTCTTCAGGAATGTAACTAGCTAACATACGTTCAAATAAATAATAAAAATCTTCCATTTAATATTATTTTTATGCCATTTTTATTTCTATAATGATAAATTCACATAAATTTTCGTATTAAATAATTCCATTTGTTGTAAACATTCTCAAACTTTCCTTTAAAACTTTTTAATCTTCATTTTAATGCTCTTAAATTACTTTTTCGATAGAAATAGTGTCATAAAGATACTTTTCTTAGTTTATATCATCTATAATTTTCCTAAAAACATTCAGGTAAATTTCCTTTTCGAAGAAAAAAATTTCTTTTTTTTCGAAAAAGGTGATTGCGTGTATTTCTTTACAAAATTCAAAAAGGCATTTTTCACTAACGAAAAATTTTTCCAATAAAAATTCTATTTTTATACCATTTTAAAAAAGATCGAAATTTTTCGAACTATAATTTTTTTCAAGTATTTAATTATCTAAAAAATACTGATATATTTTTTCCTTTTAGTTGGGTTATTTTTCTAATTAATATATACTTTTAGTTATATTTTAAACATTGTATTATTCATCTTTTTTTGTTGTTATATAATATTAGTTTGGGTAATCGTTTTTTTTTAATTTATATGTAAATTCAGTACTTACTAATTTGGCGGTATCTTGTTAATTTTCGCCAATTATTAAAAGTTAACTTTTTTCTTGAAGTTCTTTTAAGATATGAAGTGGTATTTGTAATAAAAAATGCTTTTTTTTATTAAATTCTCGGGAATATTCAAAGTTTTTTATTAATGTTTCATCCATATTTTTATTTTTTTAATTTTTTTTGCGCCAAAATATTCTTTTTTTTAATAATAATTTTTTTTTAAGTTTTTTATTTATAATTTTGAGTTTTTAAATATATATGAAAACAAAACAAAAAAGGCTATTATTTTTTTTAATTGAATAATATATATTCTTTTAATTATTATTTTTTTTAATTCTAGATAAGATATAAAAAAATTAATTTTTCAAGTATTAAATAATTTCTTAAAATAATTAAGTTTTTTTTTTTTTAAAAAAAAAAAAATCATAATAAATTTTTATTTAAAAATAAATACAAAATAGATACAAAATAAATAATTAATTTATTATTTTTTTACAATTTATTTAATTATTAAATAAATAAAATAAAAAAAAAAAATCAGAAAAAATCATAAAGTAAATGAAATTAAAAAAAACAAACAAACTCAATATTAACTAAAGTCGAATTTTTCCTATTTTTCATTATTACTTTCATTTTACAAAAGTAATTTATAATTTCTTTTCATTTAAAATAAGCATAAACAAAAAATAACTAAAAAAATAATGGAAAGTATAACTCCAATCGAAAGTCCGACAATAAGTGCCGTTGTACTATTTTAAAAGATTTCTTTGTAAACAATAATTAAGTAGTCTTCATAATAAACTTAAACAGGAAGTATTTCATATTAATCAGTATTATCTGAAAATGTATTAATTTTGAGAATTCCTTCAAAAGTTTATTATAAATATTACATTTAGTCCGGTTTACAAGATAAATAAGGAAGTATTTCTTCTATATAATAAATTTAAAGTTTATCGTTATTTTTTACAATAATATTTTCCTTAAAATTACTTTTTCCGACTGTACTTTAAGAGAGTATAAGTTTAAAATTATTATCTTGTAAATTTTAATTTTCTAAATTTTTCTTATTTTCGAATTTGCTCATAATCCACATATCATCTATCCGGCTTATATAAGAAAAAGAAATAAGTTAATTTTCTAATTCCATATTATTTGGAATTGCCCTTCTGCCAATTTCTATAATATTATTTTAAATTGCATAGAGTAGTTATGAAGAGGATTTTATTTTGTAAGTAAACCTTCCCACTTCGTATTTTTAATTGATTACGTATTCGTTATTATTTAAAATATATTCAATTAAAAAGGTAGTCCTTTCCTTATTTATTAATTATAAACAATAAATATAGTTTCCTTTAGAAATTATTTACTAAATTAAACCGTTTGTTAATATTTTATTTGTTAATTAGATTTTATTGTTTATTAAATCTACTTCAAATATATAAATAGAGGAAAGATTGTGGACATAAGATATTAACTTTATAATATATCCTTATTCGATTAATTCTAAGGTTTTAATTATTATTTAGTCTTAGTTGTTTTGGAACTAAGATATCCCTATTGTTAAATAAAGAAACATTTCCTGTTTTTTTATATTAAATTAAAAAAATTAAATTCCAAATTTTTTATCACATAGTAGAATATAATCATAATAAAATTATATTGTTTAGGTTTACATTTAATCTGTTTTTTCTTTTTTAATTTACACTAGTTATTCATTATCGAATATATAGAAATAGCCATCAGTAACTATTAACAATGAATATTTTTTCTTTGTAGATTAGTTTACTATTAACCTTACATTTTAGAATTCTTCATCTGTAAATTCTTAACCAAGGAAAGCATGTAAATTTTATTTTTGAATATATTCTATATATGGATCATTATAAACTAAGTTATGTATATTTTGTTAAATATCTAATATATAAAAATGGCCTGATATATTCAATACATATAATTAATTATCATAAAATTCAATTATACAGTTTTAATAACAATATTAACTTATTTCTATTTACCATACTAATTAAGCTTCGAATTAAGAATTTATTATTTTACAAAATTATGGGTATGGGTTGCTATTTTATATTCCTTAACTTTATGATATGTTCTATATCTAGAAAGCTTATTAATAATTTATTGTTATGTTTTATGTTATTCCGTATTATAAAAATAAATGGGATATTTTATCTTCTTTTTTTTCTATATTAAATAAGTCTTTTTTGAGTTAAATAGTTGTCTTTTTATATTATTTATTTTTAAAAGAGTACATTTTTTAAATTTTATTACTTATATTAAAATAAGAATTATTACTAAAGAATTAATAGTTTATTTTTCCGTTTAAATTTGATTCTGTATCTATTAATTATACATTATATTGGTTTGTATATTTCTTTAAATATTTTTTTTTGTTTAAGATCAGAATACTTTTTTTTTTTCTAATTATAAATTATATTTGTGTTACAATATATATATATATTATTTATTTATATTATATATTGATTAATAAATATAATTATAAAATTTAAAAAATTAAATATATCATATAATAAAATTATATTTTATTAAGAAAAAATATAAATAATTATTAAATAATATAAATATAAATATAAATAAATTATATTTATTTTAATTTTAAAATAGAATTGATATCATAAAATAATAAATGAATAAAATTCAAAAAAAAAATATTATTTATATTTTTTAATCCTGTAAAGTTTATATATTAATATTTGATGTTGGAATCAAATTAAATATAATAATATTTTTATATAAAATTAAATAATTATATTAAAAATAATAAAAAAATAAATTTTATACTTAAATAATTAATTTTAATACAAATCTTATCATATAAAATAATGTAAATAAGAGAAATTATCTTTTTATAATTAAATATATATATTTATTTATTTTATATATTATATATTTAATTTAATATTTTAAAAATTATTTTCATAAATTTATATTCAAATATTATTATAATAATTATAATAATA